CTCTACTGTGCATCAATGGCGGCCCGCTGGATCTCAAAAAGAGAGATTCAATAACAATATATAAATTTAATGGCAAATGGGATAAACCCATAAAAACGACGAGTAGCCATATAAATGCAAATAATGATAATATAAAGTTTATATATATATATATATATTATATATATATATATACATATATATATATACATATATATACATATACATATATATACATATATATATATATATATACATATATATAATAATAATAATAATAATAATAATAATAATAAATAAAAACAAACAACTATCAGAATATAAACCCACTGGAAAAAGAAATAGCGAAATTTTGCTCTGAAAGACCCAACAATTCAATTTCTGGACTCGGATCGGGGAAAATTAAAAAAAACTATGGTATTATTTTAGTTACTTCTAGTTTTGCTGTAAATGTGAAAATTGACAATAAACTTAGTTAACTAGTTACTCTTTACTGTCTTTATCGAATTTGAATAAAATGATCATAATGCCAATTTCCAAGATGGCGTTCATCTTGGCGGGGAAAAGATTATTATTATTATTATTATTATTATTATTATTATTATTATTATTATTATTATTATTACTATTGTTCTCAAAGTATAAAATACAATCTCATCAAAGCAATGTACACATATAGAATATATATAAATAATATTATTATTTTAATAGTAGTATATGCTTATTTATTATTGTTGAAATCATTATTAATATTATTATATTATATATTACTATATTATATTCTTATTATTTCGAAATTATATTTTATTATTGAAATGAATTACAATGTTAGTACTGTTATATAATAATATTATTTATAATATTTTTATCACCACTATTGATATCATTTCAGTATTATCATCATCCGTCATCATCATCCTCATCCTATTCGTCATCGTCATCATCATTCTCATTGTTGTCTAATCATCATAATCATCCTTACTGTCATCGATCGTTGTAATCATCAACATCATCATCATCTCATCATACTCATCCATCGTCATCGTCCTCATCTTCATCACGTCCTCATCGATTATCTATCGTCGTTATCATCATCCTCATAATCTTCATCCTCCTCCTCATCCTTCATCATTTTCTTCATCATCATATTCATCCTCATCCATCATCATCCTCGTCATAATCAATGGTGTAGCCAGCTATTGGCACAGTTGGGAAAGTCCCACACCATTTTTCTAATGGGTCCACAAAATTGGTCCAAATTATGTAAATTTATGCATAAAATTGATCCAGATTTCTCATATTTAGCTAAAAATGGGTAAAATTTAAGAATATGGGTCCAGATATTTCATATTTTTGCGTAAAATGGGTCCAGTCCACATTGTTTAAATTTACACGTAAAGTGGGTCCACCCTAATATTGTCCCACACCGTTTGAAAATCCTGGCTATGGCATTGATCCTCATCCATCATTGTAACCCTCATCAACATACTCAAAAATCATCGTTATCATCATCACCATCACCACAACCTACTAATCATCCTCATCCATCATCATCCTTATCCTCATCATCATCAACCTCATCCTTATCCTCCTTATCATCATCACTCATTCATCATTCATCATCATAGTCCTCATTATCATCATCATCCATCATCATCCGTGTCCTCATCATCATCAACCACATCATCATCATCCTTATTAATCATCATTATCAATTATCATCCTCATCATGAGAATGATGATGAAGAGGAGAACGACAAGAATGAAAATGAGAACGAGGGGCAGAGGGGATGTTTCTCATCAACATAATTCTTATCAATTATCCTCATCATTATCACGATCATCCTCATCAATCATAATTATCATCATCCTTATCTTCATTATCATCAAACTCATCATCCTAATTCTCCTTATTATCATTATCCTCACCATCCTTATCAGCATCATTTTCTTCCTCATCATCATTCATCATCAATCATCATCTACCTCATCATCTTCCTTCTCCTCATCAACTGCATCATCCTCATTCCCCTCCTCCTCATTCTTATCTTCATCACCATATTCATAATCATCAATACCATCACCCTCATTATTATCGTCATCCTCATCATCTTCCTGATTACTGTCATCAGCATCAACATTACCATCATCATTTTCATCATTATCCTCTTCATCATCAGTCACCATCATCATCACGAGGATGATGATAAGGAGGAGGATGACGAGAATGAAGATGAGGATGAGAGGGATGATTCTCATCATTCATCATCATCATTCTCATCAATCATTTTCTATCATTCTCATCACCATCATCACAGTCATTATCATCAACAACCATTATCATAAATCATAATCACCATCATCTTCTTCCTCACCATCATCCTAATCATCTTTCTTCTCCTCCTCATGATCAACATCCTCCTTATAATGGGGATTATAATGAGGATGGGGAGGACAATGAGGAAGATGATGATGATGATAATAATAATGACATCAGTATAGTAAGAGTAACAGTACTAACGCTAATATTAATGTGAATTATAAACTATAATGTTTTTGTAATGCATAAGAATAATTATATAGAGTACTATATTAATTATATTATAAAGTAACAACATAATAGTATAATAATAATGATGAAGAAAAATGTAGTGTAGAAAGATTAAATTTAAATAGGTAAACATTTCCTTTAATTTTGATTGTAGTAGTCTTGGAATTTGGTGTGTTGACGTCACCATTCCAAATTTGCTTGGGAGGTGGGGAATTCCCATCAGACAGGCATAGACTCCCACTGTCCGATGCCACGAAGAGGTTGCCACATCACAAATAATGATTTGCTTATCCATAAAACATTAATTTGGTTGCCAATCCCTAATATTTTGGCTTAAAAGCAAAATTTTGGGCCATACTACCCAGAGATTTTTATTCCGGGACTCTGACCGAGGGTCTAGTTGGCTCTTGTGTTTGGACCCACCTTATCAGACCCCCTGGGGCCACCACTGAACGACTATAATGGGTAAGTATTTAACTAAGGTCCTGTCAGTTTTTACAGTTATAGAAAAAAAACCCCCTTAAAAGTGACTAAAAACATAAACATGTTTCCCACAC